AGACACGGAGCAGTCGTGGCTAACGATTTTGGTCGTAAAGTCGAATGGTCGTAAGTTGCATAGGTGGTAAGTCGATCAATACCTGTATAGCCTACTCAACTTACGACCAAATCGTGTTACGACCCGTCTGTCAGAACCAATCGTGGTCCTAAGTCGAGGGCTAGCTGTGCAATGTGAAATAAGCACACTGTAGAGAATGGGAAATCCATCGCCTCAAGCATTTCTCCTTTGAGTTACAAACAATCCAATAATACTCTGTAAAGTTGTTTTTTTGTTTGTTTTGTTGTTGCTCCCTTGCCCAGGCTGGAGTGCAGTGGTGTGAGCTTGGCTCACTGCAACCTCTGCCTCCCGGGTTCAAGCAATTCTCCTGCCTCAGCCTCCAGAGTTGCTGGGACTACAGGCACATGCCACCACGCCTGCCTAATTTTTTGTATTTTTAGTAGAGACGGGGTTTCACTGTGTTAGCCAGGACGGTCTCAATCTCCTGACTTCGTGATCCGTCTGCTTCGGCCTCCCAAGGTGCTGGGATTACAGGCCTGAGCCAGGGTGCCCGGCCCTGTTTTTTTGTTTTGAGACATTCTGTTTCCCAGGCTGGAGTAGATGGCATGATCTCGGCTCACTGCAACCTCCACCTCCCAGGTTCAAGCACTCTCCTACCTCAGCCTCCCAAGTAGCTGGGATTATAGCCACACACCACCATGTTCAGCTAATTTTTGTTATTTTAGTAGAAATTGGGTTTCACCACACTGGCCAGGGTGGTCTCGAACTTGTGACCTTAGGTGATCCACCTGCCTTAGCCTCCAAAAGTGCTGGGATTACAGGTGTGAGCCACTGCATTCGGCCTCTTTAGTTATTTTAAAATGTACAGCTATTATTGACTACAATCACCCTACTGTGCTATCAATGGTAGGTCTTAATCATTCCCTTCCTCTCTTTTTCATTAGCAGAACTCCAGTTTTATTCATGCAGCACAGCTCTTTCAAAAGTCTTAGTGACAGAGGAAAAGAGAGGACTGAATGAGGATGAGAGGGTGGTGGTGGCCAAGGTCTGTGGCCGCAGGTGGGGAGGGTAAGAAGTTGTTGGTTTTGGGTTCATTTCTTTGATCAAGAAGCGTTCTGATATCAGAAAGAGCCAGTAAGGAGGGAAAAATTAGAGGATAGAGGAAGACTGACAACCTTACATAGTATAACCTATCTGGAGAAATTTAGGTGGGTTTTCTACCAAGCTGATGCAGGCGGCTTTCTTTCCCTGAGAATGATGCCCCACACTGCCCACAAGTGAAAACTCCTTCACCACCAAGAGCCCCCTTATGGATGCAGTATCCTCTGATCATTGATGACTGACGAATATCTTTTTTTTTTTTTTTCCTTTTTTACCCCTTACTACTTCTGCCTAATTCAGGGGCTCCCTGGTGAACTTGGAAGTCCTGGGCTCATGTTCAGATTCACTCTTCTCACAGCTTCATTTCCTCAACAGTAAGACGCTGAGCAATTCAACCAGGGCCCAGGAGGACATATGTCCTGTGACTGGAAAACAATGGTCCTGGCCTTTGGCCATTGTCTGGTTTTCTGACAGAAACCCCCTCTTTCTCTTGTGGGGAAATAGCTTCCCTGTACTGCCCTGACCCTTTAACAAAAATGCCATCTGCTCACATTGGTATTATTAAAACACATTTACATAGCTTCATGAAACTACATCTTCAAAACACAGAGCCTGTGTTAGTTGACTGTGTCCAAGTAACGAATGTAAGTATTCCCCCATTCCTCACCGTTTGGACAATGTAATGCTTTAAATATGCTGAGTACTTCCTGCTCCCAAAGTAAGCTGCATACTGCCAGGAGATCCCATGAAGGTTCATGAGAACTTGGGCAAGGAGAGGTCATGGATAATAGGAATTTATTTTCATTTTGCCTAGACATATGAAATATTTCTCACTCCTATGGTAGCTAAAAATTTCCTAGAGTCTTGAAAACTCATGTGTGCAAGGAGGCTTCTCCGTTCAAACATTCCAAAATCTTTTTAAAATTCAAAACAGAAATGGATTGACTTACATAGCATAGACAGCTCCATGGAAATAGCAGAAAGTTTGACTTAGGAAAACACATTTTTCCTCCCAGAATCCACCATTTTCTCCTACCAGTCTCGGTCTGTGCAGTCAGCAGCAAGAGAGAAAATGAGTCAGGGCAGCCGTACTGTGCATGCAGTTGTCACCAACACAAAACAAATTTAGAGGAAATGTATACCATGTGCCCCAGGGAACAATCTAGGCACCTCAGGGGAGCAGCTGAAGTGCGGTGGCCAGGCCCACAGGCACTCAGCCGGAGCTTGCAGCAGCGCCCTCTACCGGCCCTGGAGGACCCCGGTGCCTCAGCCTTGCAGGCGCGGCGGACTGCAGGGGCCTCCAGCTGCAGTACAGTGGGGGCTCCCACACCGCAGCCAGGCTCGCATAATTGTCTCTGTTCCACCCTCCTGTTTCTTCCACATGGCCTAGGGGCCTTTCTGCCTTTCTTCCTGGGAATGGCTGCAACTCTGCACCCAGTTTTCACTGATCCCACTTCCACACCCTCATGGGGACACCCTGACCCCCTCCAGAAGCCAAGCAGAAAGGCCAGTCAGTCACCCTTACTGTGGCAAGCAGCACACCAGTTTGGGGGATCAGGGGACAGAAGAGGTGATTGAAGAGAAGGCAGTGGCTCTCGACTTGGGGGATGGTCATACCCCGTTGAAGAATTTTTTAAAAACAAATAATCTGAGCATTTCTCCCTGCAGGAAAATAGCACGTGATGCACTCAGCATGTGTGTGCCGGCCACCTGGTCACTGTTCTAGGCAATCCGGATACAGCAGTAAAATAAACAAGATCTGATTGCCACAAAACTCACACTAGCAGGGAGACCATTAGCGATGCCATGTGGATAAACCTCAGAAGAAGCTGAAGCAGGAGCAAGAAGAGGGATGGAGGGGGAGGGAGGGAGCTGTGAGGATATCTTAATGAAGAAAGTGGGCCAGGGCCCCGCAGAAGGTAGCGTATTCAAAGAAACTCTGCTTGCAATAGGATGAGGGGCCCCGCCCAAGGGAAGTTTCTCCAGGGACCCACAGCTTAAGGACGTCTCTTTTAGGAAAGATCTCAAACATTTCCCTGTAGATTATCAGTCCAGAGAGCTCTTATTCTTATTCATTTGTCAGGTATTTATTAAATGCCAAATAAAAATGCCAAGGACTGGATACACCCTAAATAAAACATACCCCTCCCCAACTCCCTCAAAGAACACAAGTCTGATGAGAAAGACTACAAATAAACAAAAACAACACTGTGGACAAAAAGAGTCAAACTCCATAAAATATTTGAAGAGATTTATTCTGGGCCAAATACAAGCGGCCACAGGCCATGACACAGCCCTCGGGAGACCCTGAGAACGTATACCCAAGGTGGTCAGGGCTTGGTCTTATACATTTTAGGGAGTCATAAGATATCAAATACATTTAAGGCACACATTGGCTGGGTCCAGAAAGGTGGAACAACTCAACCTGGGTGACAGGACTTCCAGATTATAAGTAGATTTAAAATTTTTCGAATTGGCAGTTGGTTGTCAATTGAAAGGAATGTCTGGGCTGTGATAAAGAGGTTTTGGAGATCAAAGTTCTATCATGCAGATGAAGTCTCCAGGCAGCAGACTTCAGAGAAAATAGATTCTGTAAATGTTTCTTATCAGACTTAGGTCTGTGTGGATGTTCAGTGCTGGTCGCTTTTTCCTGAAATCCAAAAGGGAGGCGGGTAGAATGAGGCATGTCAGACCCCCCCTTCCTGCCATGAAAGGTTAAATTTTAGAGTGTCCTGGCCAACGAGGGAGTCCATTTAGATGGTTGCAGGAGGTCTTGGAGTTTCATTTTTGGTCTACATTCAGTAGATCAAAAAATGCACTTGAAATTTAACATTCATTTATGATGAAAACTTTTAGAAAACAAGAAATAGAAAATAACCTCCTTGTTCTCATAAATGATATTTACAAAAAGTCTGAAGTGGATGTCTCATGTAATGGTGATAGGTAGAATGCAACCTTATCAAATGCCTTCTTAACACTTCTACACAGCATTGTACTGTGCACTCTATACATAATAAGATAATAAAAAGAAAAATTAGAAAAAGTAAAGGTGGTATTATTCACAGATCATATGATTCGGTGTGTAGAAAAGCCAACAAATCTGCAGGTGAAGTTTTAGAATTAATAAGTGAGTTTAGTAAAGCTTGCTGGATGAAAGGTCAAAATACAAATAGACATATTTCTATGTATCATTAACAAACAGAAAATAAAAGCTTTTAAAACGTACTATTGACAATGATTCCACTACACACACACCACAAGAGTTAAAATGAAAATGACTGACAATGCCAAGTGTTGGCAAGGCAGTAATGCAACAAGAACTTCTATACAGCACCAGTGAGTGTGCACATTGGTCCAGTCACTGAAGTGGAATATACAATACTCAACAGTCAGGCAGTTTCACTGCTGAGTGCACCAAACAGAATGCACACTGTGGGCTGGGCAGGGTGGCTCATGCCTGTAATCCCAGTACTTTGGGAGGCCAAGGGGGGCAGATAGCCTGAAGTCAGAAGTTCGAGACCAGCCTGGCCAACACAGCAAAACCTGTCTCTACTAAAAATACCAAAATTAGCCAGGTGTGGTGGCACACATCTGTAATCCCAGCTACTCAAGAGGCTAAGGCAGGAGAATCACCTGAACCCAGGAGGCAGAGGTTGTGGTGAGCTGAGATCATGCCACTACACTCCAGCCTGAGTGACAAAGCAAGACTCCATCTCCAAAAAAAAAAAAAAAAAAAGACTGCACACTGTGCATATATATATAAGAATGATCATGGCAGCATTACTTGTAATAACTAAGAAAATGAAAATATAGTAGTCCCTTGGTATCCCTGGGGGATTAGTTCCAGGATCTCCAAGGACACCAAAATCTGCAGATGCTCAAGTCTCATATAAAGTCACATAGTACTTGCATATAACCCATGCACATTTTCCTGTATACTTTAAGTCATCTCTAGATTACTTATAATATCCAACACAATGTAAATGTCACGTGCATAGTTGTTAAAATGTGTTTTTTAAATTTGTATTTTTCTATTGTTATTTTTTCCATCCTTGGTTGGTTGAATTTGCTGAACCTGTGGATATGGGGTGCCCACTGTAACCCAAATATCTGTCAACACTAGAATAAATAAAAATTGTGGTATATTAATTCAATGGCATGTTATATCAGAAAATGAATAAAATATAGCTGCAACACAACAATACGGATGAATCTCACAATTGTAATATTGGACAAAAGAAGCCAAACTCAAAAGAATACACACCGTATGGTTCTACTTATCCGAAGTTCCTAACCAGGGAAAACTAAGTTATGGCATTAGAAGTCAGAGTAGAGTAACTTTTGGCAGAAAGACAATAGTGGTTGTGGGAGTGCATGGGGGAGGCTTCTGGAAGCTAAAGGGTTCTATTTCTTGATGGGGGTGATTATTATGGGTGTGTTCTCTTCTTGGTGATTCATTCAGTTACACTTATGACACTCCAATGCATTTGATGGTCTGTGATGTGATGGAATCTCACATTCGTTTTTTAACTTTAAACATCCATCCCCTCACAGTCATGGTATGGTGGCAGCAGTTTGAGAGCTACTTGGAACGCTGTCAGAAACCAACCTAGCGCAAGCTTTGTGCTTGGCCAGGCGTGGTGGCTCATGCTTGTAATCCTGGCACTTTAGGAGGCTAAAGCAGGAGAATTACTTCAGCCCTGGAGGTCGAGGCAGCAGTGAGCTGGTTTGCTTTTTGGAGTTATAGAAATGTTCTAAAATTGAGCCTTGTGAAGAGTTCACAAGTCTGTATGCACAGATTAAACTAAAATCCATTGAATTTTACACTTTAAATGGTTGAACTGTATGACATGAATTATATTTCAATAAAGCTGTTATATGAAAAAAAGAGAATTGCAGTGGCTATACTTGTGTCAGACAAAACAAACTTTAAGACAAATATTGTTACTAGAGACAAAGAAGACATTTTACAATAATAAAAGTGCTAATCTACTGGAACGACAGAAACACTTAATTTTAAACGCTTAATACACTAACAGCAGAGCCCCCAAATTACATGACACAAAACTGACAGAAATAAAGGGAGAAATACACAATTCAACAATAATAGTGGCTGGGCATGGTGGCTCATACCTGTAATCCCATCATTTTGGGAGGCCGAGGCAAGCAGATTACAAGTCAGGAGTCTGAAACCAGCCTGGCCAATACAGTGAAACCCCATCTCTACTAAAAATACAAAAATTAGCCAGGTGTGGTGGTGGGCACCTGTAATCCCAGCTACTCGGGGGGATGAAGCTTGAACCCAGGAGGCTGAGGTTGCAGTTAACCGAGACCATACCGTTTCACTCCAGCCTGGGCGACACAGCAAGACTCTGTCTCAAAAAAACAAAAATACAATAATAGCTGGAGGTAGGAACCAGACGCAATGGCTCATGCCTGTAATCCCAGTACTTTAAGGGGCCAAGGTGGGTGGATCACTTGAGCCCAGGAGTTCAAGACCAGCCTGGGCAACATGGTGTAATCCCATTTCTATAAAAAATACACAAAATTAGCTGAGCTCGATGGTGTGCACCTGTAGTCCCAGCTACTTGGGAGACTGAGGTGGGAGGATCATCTGAGCCCAGGAGGTTGAGGCCATGATTACACCACTGCACTCCAGCCTGGGGGACAGAGTGAGACCCTGTCTTCAAAAAAAAAAAAGAAATTAGTAGGAGGCTTCCATAACCCAATTCCAATAATGGATAGATCAACTAGGAAGAAGATTAACAAGGAAGTAGAAGACTTGAACACTATAAACTGTCTAGAACTGCGGGTGTGGTGGCTTAAGCCTGTAATTCCAGCACTTTGGGAGGCTGAGGTGGGTGGATCACAAAGTCAGGAGCTCGAGACAAGCCTGACCAACATGGTGAAACCCTGTCTCTACTAAAAAAAAAAAACAAAAACAAAAATTAGCCAGGCTTAATGGCACACACCTGTAATCCCAGCTCTTCAGGAAACTGAGGCAGGAGAATTGCTTGAACCCGGGAGGTGGAGGTTACAGTGAGCCAAAATTGTGCCACTGCACTCCAGCCTGGGCCACAGAGTGAGACTCCATCTCAAACAAACAAACAAACAAACAAACAAACAAAAAGCCTGTCTAGACCTAGACCTAATACGCATATTCAGAACATGTCGCACAATAATAGCAGAATACACAGCTTTTTAAGTGCACATGGAACATTTTCCAAAAGATCGTATGTTATGCCACAAAACAAGCCTTAATAAACTTAAGAGCATTTTAATCATGCAAAGTATATGGCCCAAATACAATAGAATAAAATTAGATATTGACCACAAAAGAAATCTTGGGAAATTTATAGATATATGAAAATTAAACAATACACCTTTCAGTCAGTGGGTAAAAGGATGAATCAAACGGATGTTAGAAAATACTTTTAGATGAATAAAAACAAAAACAATGCATATGAAAATTCATGTGATACAGTAAAAGCAGTACTTAGAATAAGGAAAGTCATAAGTATAAATGCCTATACTAAAAAAGAAAGATCCCAAATCAATAACCTGACTTTACACCTTAAGGAATTAGAGAAATAGCAAACAAAACAAAAAATAAGCAGAAAGAAAATAATGAGGTAATAATAAAGGCTAGAGGGACAAGAAATGAACTGAGACTAGACAAACAACAGAGAAGATCAATGAAAGCAAAAGTTGGTTCTTTAAAAAGATCAATGAAATTGGCAAATCTTTAGGTAGACTGACCAAGCGGAAAAGAAAAAAGATTTAAGTTACTAAAATTAGTATGAAAGAGAGGGACATCACTACCAACCTTGCAGAAATGAAAATGATGCATAAGGCAGTACTACAAATAACACATACCAAAATATTAGATAGCCTTGATGAAATAGACAAATTCCTGCAAAGATGCAAATTACTGAGATTGACACAAGAAGAAATAGAAATAGTGTGGGAAGTAGAAAAGTTCCTTTTTAAAGTTTCCTTTCTTAAAGAATAAGGGTGTAAGCACGACGGTGGCCATGGAAGTCAGAATCGGCTAAGGAGTGTGTAACAACTCACCTGCTGAATCAACTAGCCCTGAAAATGGATGGCGCTGGAGCGTCGGGCCCTACCCGGCCATCACCGGCAGCGGAAAGTGGATGGGAGCAGTGGCGCGGGCAGCGGCGGCGGTGGTGGGGTCTTTCCACAGAAATTCAAACCATCATCAGAGATTATTACAAACAACTCTATGCACATAAACTAGTAAACCTGGAAGAAATGGATAAATTTCTGGACACTTGCACCCTCCCAAGCCTAAACCGGGAAGAAGCTGAAACCCTGAACAGACCCATAACAACGTCTGAAGTTGAGGCAGCAATTAAGAGCCTACCACCAAATAAAAGCCAAGATCTAGATGGGTTCACAGCCAAATTCTATCAGACATACAAAGAGGAGCTGGTACCATTCCTTCTGAAACTATTCCAAACAATCCAAAAAGAGGGAATCCTTCCCAAATCATTTTATAAGACCAACATCATCGTGTTACCAAAACTCGGCAGAGACTCAACAAGAAAAGAAAACTTCAGGCCAATATCCATGATGAACACAGATGCGAAAATCCTCAATAAAATACTGGCAAGCCGATTGCAACAGCATATCAAAAAGCTTATCCACCATGATCAAGTAGGCTTCATCCCAGGGATGCAAGGCTGGTTCAACATATGCATGTCTATAAACATAATTCACCACATAAACAGAACCAAAGACAAAAACCACATGATTATCTCAATTGATGCAGAGAAGGCCTTTGACAAAATTCAACAGCCCTTTATGCTAAAAACTCTCAATAAACTAGGTATTGACAGAACGTATCTCAAAATAATAAAAACTATTCATGACAAACCCACAGCCAATACCATACTGAATGGGCAAAAACTGGAAGCATTCCCTTTGAAATCCAGCACTAGACAAGGATGCCCTCTCTCACCACTCCTATTCAATATAATACTGGAAGTTCTAGCCAGAGCAATCAGGCAAGAAAAAGAAATAAAGCGTATTCAAATAGGAAAGGAGGAAATCAAATTGTCTCCATTTGCAGATGACATGATTGTATATCTAGAAGATCCATCATCTCAGCCCAAAATCTCCTGAAATAGATAAGCAAATTCAGCAAAGTCTCAGGATACAAAATCAATGTGCGAAAATCACAACCGTTCCTATACACCAATAACAGACTTAGAGAGAGCCAAATCAAGAATGAACTGCCATTCACAATTGCTACAAAGAGAATAAAATACCTAGGAATACAACTAACAAGGAACGTAAACTATCTCTTCAAGGAGAACTACAAACCACTGTTCAAAGAAATACGAGAGGACACAAACAGATGGAGAAATATTCCATGTTCATAATTAGGAAGAATCAATATTTTGAAAATGGCCACACTGCCCAAAGTAATTTACAGATTCAATGCTTTCTGCATCAAGCTACCAATGACCTTCATCACAGAACTGGAAAAAAAACACCTTAAACTTCATATGGAACCAAAAGAGAGCCCACATAGCCATGTCAATCATAAGCAAAAAGAACAAAGCGGGAGGCATCACACTACTGGACTTCAAACTATACTACAAGGCTACAGTAATCAAAATAGAATGGTACTGGGATATAGAGATATAGACCAATGGAACAGAACAGAGGCCTTGGAGGCAACACCACACATCTACAACCATCTGATCTTTGACAAACCTGACAAAAACAAGCAATGGGAAAAGGATTCCCTGTTTAATAAATGGTGTTGGGAAAACTGGCTAGCCATGTGCAGAAAGCTGAAACTGGACCCCTTCCTGACACCTTACACTAAAGTTAACTCCAGATGGATTAAAGATTTAAACATAAGACATAACACCATAAAAACCCTAGAAGAAAATCTACGCAAAACCATTCAGGACATAGGCATAGGCAAGGACTTCATGACCAAAACACCAAAAGCATTGACAACAAAAGCCAAAATAGACAAATGGGACCTAATCAAACTCC